AAAAAAAAAAAATTAGAAAAGCAAGCTTTTCAGTCCAGTCTCCAAGTTAAAAAAATATATATATACATATATATATATGTATGTATGTATGTATGTATATGTATGTATGTATACGTATATATGTTAAAGCAAGCTTTTCAGGAATTATAGGGGCTGAGAAGAAGACAGAGTCAAGACTGATCCCCAGGTTTCTAGCACAGGTGACCAGGTGACTGATGATACCAGTAAGTAAAAAGAAAATATGAAGAGATTTCGTTTTGCAGAAGAAAATGATGAAATCCACTTTATCCACTTCCAGTCTGAGGCATCTGTGGGCTATCCAAGGAAACAGTCTGCAGTTGGGTGAGAAATGTGAGCTAGAGATGAAGATTTCTACATCATCAGGATACAGGCAATATTTCTAAGAAGAACAGCAAGACAATCGAACTCTCAGGGACACTGCTGTTTAAAGGACAGGCAGAGGGAGCAGAGTCACGAAGGAATGGAACAACCACAGAGTAGAGCGTACAGTCAACATTTTGAGAAGTTTTTAAAAAAAAATTTTTTTTTTATTGTTTATTTATTTTTGACAGAGAGAGAGACAGAACATGAGCAGGGGAGGGGCAGAGAAAGAGGGAGACACAGAATCCGAAGCAGGCTCCAGGCTCCAAGCTGTCAGCAAAGAGCCCAACACGGGTCTCAAACCCACAGACTGTGAGATCATGACCTGAGCCGAAGTCAGATGCTCAACCGACTGAGCCACCCAGGCGCCCCGACATTTTGAGAAGTTTTAATTAGAAGGGCAGCTGACAAGAAGGGGAGGATGAAATGGGCTGATAAATTAGGCAGGAACAGGACAGAGTAGAGAATTGGGGGCAACTGTCAAGATTTTTCCTCTTAAAATAGAAGAGGTATGAACATATGATTATAGATTACAGAGAAGCAGCAAGTAAAGCTGAAGAGGCTGAAAATGACTACTTGTATATGGTCCTAAAAGAAACCAGCAGGTATGAGCATTAAAAAACTTCTCGGGGGGCGCCTGGGTGGCGCAGTCAGTTAAGCGTCCAACTTCAGCCAGGTCACAATCTCGCGGTCAGTGAGTTCGAGCCCCGCGTCAGGCTCTGGGCTGATGGCTCAGAGCCTGGAGCCTGTTCCCGATTCTGTGTCTCCCTCTCTCTCTGCCCCTCCCCCGTTCATGCTCTGTCTCTCTCTGTCCCAAAAGTAAATAAACGTTGAAAAAAAAAAATTAAAAAACTTCTCAGAAGGCTGTGTGATATGCGCCAGATAATGCTCCAAACTATTTGCCATTGGAAGTGACATATTTACTTCACTATGTTACACTGGTTTACTTTTGCTTATATGGTTTAAT